TTAAAAAAAATAATTAACCTTCAAAAAACGAAAGAATTCTTCAATGTCGAAAACGGAAAGTTTTTATCGTACTGTTTATATTGTTTTTTGTATCTTTGGTACTCAACCCCGATCGATTAACCGAAAAACACTAAGCAGCATCAGTTACAAGTTACAATTTACAGTTAAAATTCTTCAATTACCTGTTTATATTTTGTTATATGAAATTCAACATTCTAAATGTACACAATTGAATTGATTTGTTTATTGAATTAGTGTAATTAGTATTACAGAACACATACAATAGATGCAATGCCACCTATCCATAGTAGCTTTCAAACTTAGTGCTGTTAATTTATAATTCAGCATAGTACAGCAAGGATATACATTTTCAATAACGTTAATTTGAATCATATGCTGTTAAATCCCTCAGTGCAAGTTGTAATTATGAATTTATTTTTAAGCAACAAAACTCTTATTTGAAGATAAGTAATAAAAAAATATTAGTGAAAATTTAATATATTGCACCTTGTTAATTCCGTTATAAGAATTTGGGTTGTTGAAGTGATGGGGTGTGAAATTTAATTTAAACTCTCATTCAAGCAAGGAACGAATGCTTATAAAATTTGCAGTAATGTCTATTCTTCACACCAACCAAGATCTACATTTGATTACAATGGAAACAACCAACATTTTTAGAAATGCTTCCTCATGGATAAGCTACGGATTTTTTTGAAACATTATTAATTATACTTTATTTGGGACGGAATGATTTAATACAAGGAACATCCATTTATAACAACATTTAGTTATTATAAGAAAAACTATTGGGTAGTAGTGTTACTAAGGATGGACACTGAGGGCCTTTTTGATTCTGCACATTTAACTTTGCACTGGTCAAAATATTTTCAACAGTGCTTACATGAGATAACTTTGTGTTTTCAATTAGATATTTGCATTTTTGACCACCAACGATTAATCATATGATGAAATACTTTTTGTCCTGGCATAATTTTGCAATAAATTCACAAATACGAAGACTTAAAATGATCTGATGCAACATAGTCGACTATAACGAGTTCACGATTAGGTGCATTTGTGAATCGTACGTGGGTTCAATGACCTATTTAAAAAATATAACTATAATTCACTTCATAGAACCTCGATTTAGCAATTATCAAAGTATGTGGCAAGGAATTATATATATATATATATATATATATATATATATATATATATATATATATATATATATATATATATATATATATATATATATGTATATGTCATATTTGAATGTTTCTATATAGATGAAAACGTTATTAGACTGAGATCTACTCATAGACGTATATAGGAATTATGCAATATAAAAAACTAGATTGAAATCTACTCATAAATAAATCACAATAAATATATATGGTGATATGTATATTTTTTATAGTAATAAAATTTACACTTTCTTTTTCTACAATAGGCCCAACGCCGACAGGTGAGATATATTATTCGATGAATTAATACATTGTGTTGTTGTTGTTTTATAAAACATCACTGCATGACAGATAAATGCTTAATTCTGAACACCGTGCTATCTTTTCTTCATGTGCTTGTACTCGTATATGTTAAATACTGGCTGTGTGCGTCACTGACTGTGTGCGTCGTTAACTGTGTGCGTCACTGGCTGCGTGCGTCATTGACTGTGTGTGTTAGTGTCTGTGTATCACTGACTGTGTGTGTCACTGGCTGTGTGCGTCACTGACTGTGTGCGTCACACTGACACTGACACGTCCCTGTGCATCATAAATCAAATTCGAACGAATTTATAAATTGGTGTCGTAATTAGAAAGAATATATCACATTCACTAAAAAAACAATAAGAATAAAATATATATGACATGTTGTTTTTACAGGCAATGCCCTAAGAGATCCTCACATGACAACGTTCGACGGCGTAAGATACAATTTCCAAGGTCTGTGTACATATGTTCTCACTCAGGACTGTAGTGACATCCACAAACCATCATTTCAAGTGACTGCTGATTTCCGTGAGAAACGTTCAAAACCACTAACTCGTATTAATGCTGTCAATGTTAATGTTGATGGGATGCAGTTACTACGAATACTACAGAATAATAGTTTTCTTGTAAGTCGTTACATATTGGAGTTCATGCCTTGGTGTCAGTAATTTAGATGTTAATGTCAATATCTGATTGAATGATGTAAACCCTTATTATTTCGGGGCATTGTATCTTGCATGCGTAGTAAAGTTGAGTTTGTTGTATAGCGAACCTTTGCGTTATTATTTTCCAAGCTTTCCCCTTTCTTGTCTAGCATTGGAAATCTAGTCAATACTTGCACCTTGATCAGAATGGAATGGAATGAAATATCTAAATGTTACTGTGTTAAAAGCTGTATACAATTATATGAGAGACGTTTTTTAATGATGTATGAGGTATGTTGTATATGCATTTTATTGTTAATTGTTACTTTATATACTGTAGATACAAGATCAACTCTTCACCAATTCATCTGCTGTAATTGGTAATGGACAGGGAACTGTGAAGGTAGAAGACGAACACGTGTACGTAAAACTGGATAGTCCCGCTCTATCTCTGGTTTGGACAAAAGAGACCCATGGTATCAATATAGCTTTGAATGGTCCTAATATGCGAGGCAATGTATGTGGTCTACTAGGAAACGCTAATGGTGATCCTGAGGATGACCTAATGAAATCTGATGGAGTTATTGTGACTAAAGATGATATATACGAATTTGGAGATAGTTGGATGGTCCCTGGAAGGTGAGAATTATAATTCTATCACTATATCAATTTCAATATCAAGTTTTTGCTTTGTCATTACAATATACTACTTTCCATATTTGGTCATTTAATGTATAGATGCAGGTTCGTGAGTGTCCGGAACCCTAAAATATAGTGCTAAACACCAAACACTGTTACATTATTGAGTAAAATGAAAACACTGCATATCTATTTCAACCTTGTCCGTTGAATGGGTAGATTATTTTTTGGCATAGAAAAATCAGCATAAAATCCCTGAAACAAGGCAATAATATATTATCCAACCTTAGGCTAAAAAGTCCTAGTAAGTCATGTTTCTCTAATAATACTATATGTACTGTGCTCTATATGCCCCCATAGAATATTATACCTTGAATTCAGTAAAGATAACATATCTAAGCAGAATTTGGAAAGACAACTACTACGTGAAGTGTTCCTCAATTAATGCCATATGCCGTTTTAATCTCAATATCCCATATAAAATATATATCATGAAATGAGTTCCTAAATAATGATGTAGTAATATATTTGGACGAAATAAAAAGCTAGCCCGATTTGAAATTTGAATCTTGGCGTTTATTACTAACACTTGGTTCTCATTATCAACAGTATACATGTGTTCATTCTGTTATCTTGATTCTATTACTAAAATGTTTTATTTCAGTCACATTTCACGCCAGATTTTTAAAAATTCATTTGCTAGTTACACAAAAAATGAATTTCGTTGACATATTGATTGATAAGTTTACAAAGTTTTAAGATTTTAACTGAATTTAATGAATATCGTGAAATATACATATACATTTACCAAGATCCACGAAATGATTATTATAATATCCAATTTTGAATAAAATTGTATAAAAACTGTTATTGTTACCACATATATGGGATGCAAACTTAATATAAGTTAATATATAAGGCCGCGATTGCCCCCAAATCTGAACATATTACCGTGTGTTTTTCCTTTTTTTATTTTGCGCCGACATGCTGTATGTTAGGTAATAAAAAGGAGCATAAAAAATACGTCTTTCAAATAATTAATAACATTCGTTTTCAAAACTTATGATTTTTAGTCACTATAATGTCATCTTAATATTCCTAGAAGTGTCAGTATTAATGCATGTAACGTAATACCTTGTAATGTTTCCTTTCTTTTAATTTTTACAGCTGTGAATAAAAAAAAACGATCACGGCGTGGCGGGGAATGGTATAACATTATTAAATTACTGGTAGTGGGAGCTTGCTATTACTAAACGTGGATTAAACGTGGATTGATTGGTCAATAACACAGGAATAGATAGTTTACCTGGTTCTTATCTGTGTTTGGTAAAATAAAGGGCACAATATAAAAGTTAATAAAGTAGAGCACTGCAAATTGATATTGTTGCTTCAATGTGTGTGTTTGTATACCCAGACGCAGTAGGAACATTATCAATCAAATACTACAAAACATAATCTGTCATTTACCCTTCCTGTATAATAGACTATTCTCTTTGCCAGTAACCTGTTTTAAATAATTTGATGCTCCGCTTATCAAAGACCTTCAACTTCAGTTTACATTAGCAGGGCCCCGTATATTCTTATAACAAGGGTGGAACTCTCGACAAGCGTGGTCAGAATTTGTGGCTTTCAAAAATCGTAGTTTATTTTTTTGTGATTTGTGTATCAATGCAAGAATATAAGACGAGTTTCCTCTTTTAAAATCAGTCAGATTGTTAGAGTACTGTAGTACAGCTGAAAGTCGGAAGATGTATCTTCGATTTGTCTGCATGTTTACTGCATTGCAAATGTCACAAGAAAAAAACATTCTCTCTAGATTAATTGTTGTTGTTGGGAGAACAAGAGCGTCAAACAACATTTGGTTTCCGGGTACAGATGTTTGGAAATAGTTGATGAATTTCTTTACCAATCCGCCCAAGTTGGACTATCGATTCCCCATTGTCATTTTCCATTAGACATGGTGAAAGTCAATTCGTTACCCCCCAAAATATAAACACAATGTCAGAAAACTAGAACCATTGGATATCAACGGAAGGCGTTCTAGTAACCTATGTTGGTAATGTTCTGGGAGCTGAATTCGATCGTGTGTTGTCTTCTTAGTCGTCATGACTGGTGTAATCTTCAACATTTAATTTCTCTCTCTCTTTCTCTCTCCCTCTCTCCCTCCC